CCGTGACGTACACCGGCTGGGGGTACAGCTCGGTCTCCACCATTGTCAGCACGCGCGTGCTGGGCAGGATCAGGTGCTGGGTGTTGTAGACGGTGCTCGGCAGGTACTCTACTGCCTCTCGTACAACGTGCGTCACGGGTGGCAGGCACCTGTCGTGAGACTCCCTCGGGAACGTGCCACGCACCCCCACCTGTCCGCCTCCGGAGGATCCAGAGGAACTGGAAGACCCAGAGGATCCAGAGGAACTGGAAGACCCAGAGGATCCAGAGGAACTGGAAGACGCAGAGGATCCAGAGGATCCAGAGGATCCAGAGGACCCGGAAGATCCAGAGGACCCGGAAGATTCAGAGGATCTGGAGGAGCTGGAAGACCGGAAGGAGGTAGAAGACCCCCCAGAGACAAACGTGCCCGAAGACTGGGACGACTCCGACGATCCAGATCCAGTCCCGAAGAGCGAATGGAAGGAGAGCCGGTCGCGATGCTGGCGCAGGAACTGGCAGTAGGGCCTGTTGCCCTGTGGACCGCCGCAGCTGTAGGCCGAACGCCGCAGCCGCCGCTCCACGGCCTCGGCCATGGCAAGCACCGTCTCCTCGTCCTGCTCCCGCTCCAGCATCTCTACCACCTCCTCCTCGGACAAGTCCTCAAGGATATGGTCCAACAGCTGGTGAATCTCCTGCTCAGGCTCCTCGGGAGTGGTCTGCAGGGACAGATCCATAAGACTGACAGGACACCAAGTCTGATGCTTGCCGAGCATCATGTACATTATATATATATATATATATATATATATATATATATATATATATATATGATATATATATTTATATTTATATATATATATATATATTTATATATATATATATATATATATATATATATATATATAGTGTGTGTCTTATTTGTGTATACTTATGCAAATGAATGCATATGTATACGGATACACAAGGAAATTGCTGCACGACATCCAAAATGAAGCTGCAAGGCTGTCGCCGAGAGGCAAAGCGTGCGAAACGAGCAATGCTGCTTTACGTTTAGTTACGGTTTGGTGTATGTACTTTGGTAGGGTCTCCTATCCTATGCTGTGGCAAACATGTAGCACGTGGTGGTGGCATCCTGTTGATGGGGCCACGTCGCATCCCACCGAGAAACTTGTGCCCGGCATAGAGGCAGACGCAAACCACTCAGTAGTCGCAAGTTCGCAATAAAAGCTGTTTTGTGCAAACTGGTAGGATTTTTTCGATAATCAAGATCAGTGATCAGGGCAACGTAGTGTCGCCCGATGTTTAGTCCTCCATTTCAGGATGTCTCCAAGACATACATGCTAGTAGAATCAAAAACTTCCAGACAAAACAAATCCGCCGACTGAAAAAATTACCGAAAACACGTCGAAGGGGACGCCGTCGACCTCCACCTCGTTCTGAACCAAGTGGCTCTCTGGCAGCGTATCGAAAGGCGGGTTGTCATCCAGCTGTATCCTCACTTCGGCGGCCAGCAGGTCATCATCGACGCGGGGCATCCCGACGGTCACCGAGGCCACCGCGGCCAGTCTGCCACATGGAACGGCGAGAGTGGCGTCAGTGATGCGGGACGATGATCAGCAGTGTGGCTTTGACGCAATTGACCGGAGCGCGGCAGAGCAGCGGTAGATTTATGTAAGAACTTCCTCGCCTAGATCAATAATTTTTCTCGCCTTCGTCCGAGGGAGAACGTTTGAGGCCCCATGAAGACCTGATATCAAGTAAAGCTGGTGCCACGGAGGAAAACGTCAAAAAGCTCCTTGCCGAATCGTATCAACTACGAACGATACTCAGATCAAATGGGACAATAGTCCTATTATTAAACCAGCATTTATCCAAGATCCAACACGATACATCGCCTAAGGCTATGTTTTAAGACCCCTCGAAAACAGGCTCATGCCGAGCCTTGTCAGACCATGGGGGCACAAGACTGCTACCGGCACATAAGGCTACATTGAGAGCTACAAAGCTAGTCGCATCAGCAGGGAGAACGAAAGATCTTAAGTCAAAACCTGGTCACAAAGAGCAAGGTTTGACCTAGCTTGGGCCTGGACTGAGATTTTGACCGTACCTCGAGCATTCACCAGACAGCTAAGGAAACGGCTGCACCCTGGGGCGCACCCCCTGCAAGAAATATACCGGACAAGACAGAGCCCCCGACCTCTGCATAGCGCAAGGTCCGGCCAGACATGCTGTCTGGCTGTCCGATGCATTAGCGCGATCACACTACATTCGCAGACAATCAGCCTTTGGGCAATGACAGCCAGATTTGACGGGGCCAACGACAGAAGTAGAGCACGTAATACCGCCAATCAGAACGTCCAAATCTCCTCCCACTACAGGGTACAACACTGCGCCATGCTGCTGTACTTACACGAGGAGTGTCCGGGCTGCCATCCTAAAGCGCGCGCGTGCCGACTCCCTACGATGCCGCCAGAACACTGACCCTCCACCTCGGAGTCACTCTGTTAACGAATTCGTCACGTGACCTGCCTGCCCTAAGCCAATCAGCGGCCAGAGTTCGGGTCGAGGATGACCAGGGGTCGGGTCGAGGATGACCGCACCCGGCCGAGCAAGGTCGGCCCCGGCCCCGGCCCCGGCCCCGGCCCCGGCGGTGGCAGCCAGCACACATCGGCAGCAGGCGATTCTGTTCCTTCCTGGCCGATCTATGCAGTATTCAGAAATTTTGCAAAAAGGGGAATTCATCAGCGCCCACAGCGATGAGTAAATCAAAAGTGGTAGCAAATGCCAACACAATGGGACGTTTGAAATTGCGTTGCTGGACAGTCAAGCTGTTCTTCGGCGATGCCAGATGAACTAGTGACAGTATTTGTTCGATAACTTTATTGTATTTTCAAATCATGTAGGAAAATTAAAACAGTTTTCTTTGGACAAATGTGTAGAACTCAGCCTGACAACACGTGCTAAACCGCCGCCTTTAGCTTCCCGAACTGCTGTATGGAAAGGCCACGCCGTTCTGACCCAATCATCATACAAGGGTCATATTGCACTGCTTCGGTTTTTCAGCTGCATTCCAAAGCGTTGTAGCTTATATTGTAAAACTTTCCTTTTTAAGAGACACAGTTTGGTGACGTGGACGATTTGCGGTATGTACGAATCAGAGGGTATTCAAGGTGGATGTGGCGTCCATGGCTATTTGACCATATTCTGGCAACTTTTAACTGAAGTGAGTTAAAGACATGTGCCTGGCGCGGGTTGGATTCTACGTTAGCCCGGTCGGCCGGTCAAATTTTCCCGGGCCGGTAAGCAAAGCATACCTAGGGTAAGGCTAGAGATGCACGTTTGATATATATATATATATATATATATATATATATATATATATATATACATACATATATGCTCGATGACTTATGATAATACCTAATCATCGAGTCATCGAGCACAACTCGGTTCAAGGACAGGTTATTGAATGCAGGCTGGTCGCATCCAGGAGATATGCGATACGTATGAACTACCAATGGGAAATCCAGGAGTGGCAAAATATAGATAAATTTGGGTACCTTACTGTGGACATAAGCCATGCAGAACGGCGATGGAATAATGTAATCTTGCCAGTAGAGTTCATCGTACGCTTTCAATAATGAAATCATGCAGACAACACACGAGACAATATGCAGAACTGCAATGTAAAAGTCAATCCCAGGCAGCTAGCTCGAGGAATCTGCCACCGACATTTATTTTGATCTCAATCGTTTAGCAATACGGTTATGATTTTCTTATCAGCAGGGCCCCTGACATCGTGTATATCGAACCTTTCATGTGTCCGCGGGCTTACGTAAGTTTATGGTTAGTAAGATATTACGAACTGTTTGCGGCTGTTCCGCTTTCTGCTAAGATAATCTGACCAGCAATACACTGAGAATTTTGAAATACTCGACAGAACGCAGTAGGGGCATAGTCAGACAATACAAAAAGAGGAGTCGTACAATCCAACGTTGGCAGGATCATCATATGTGGTGATCAAACTGACCTGAAGTTATCATTTCTAACTGCGTTTTGCATATGCGGTCACTAATAAACAAGGTAGGCGGGGCGGTTTAAGGAGCGTCGGCTAGTTATGAGAATATGCCCTTCTCCCACTTACTGTGCCCAACACTGGCACCAAACGGCTACTGTCAATCACATAAGATTCCATATAGGCTCTAATTTTCTTCAATTATGTTGTTATCTTTTAATGGCGCTTTTCGTTCAGATTCATTTAACGATAGAGGTGCTACAAAATTGGCTTTTTACCCGATACATTTCTGTCCAGAGGGCACCAATGCCAAGGTTAAAAACAAGACATCCTAAAAAAAGAGTTCACACTTCGGTGGCCTCTTATGACCCGACGACCAGAACGACTAGATAGGTGCAATAACTAGATTGGCACAGCATGTTCCGACATTTCAGGGAAAAGGATCAAAGTGCTTCCCCTCCCACAAATAACTGAAGCAGAATTAAGCCCCGTGGTTAGGGTCAAGCGATGATTATATTAGCGCCCTGTAACTGACCTTCGCCTCCGCCACACCGTTGCTGTGTTATAAACATACGTATCTTTCAAATAACCTTCCACTGCAAATGCTAGCATGACATTTTAGGCGTGAGGCAGGACTTCGTGTACTTGCGTGAGGCTGCAATCTCATGACTTCGCTTGTAGTAAGTGCGGCATCGCGTTCCTCACACGCCTCCACACCAATACCGTCAAGTTCTTCCATAGACGAACAACTTAAAATGTGACTCGTAGATATCAATCGTCGAAGCTCGAATTGTCTTAGCATTGAGTCAGCGTCTTACAACTTGCGATACTTTTACGGGGATGTAGCGCCTACCCACACTGAAGGAAGCAGCAGACCACAGTGCTGACTAACGTACAATTCGCTTTTCCAGTCACTCATCTGATTGGGTAACCGAAGCGCAAGTGATCCTGTCAGTGGAAAGAGGATAGTGCAGATCTTATGTTTCCAAAGGCGCCTACACATTTAAAGGACGTGCTCCATATATATATATATATATATATATATATATATATATATATATATATATATATATATATATATATATATTTATATATCGGCTCTTTGACTGAAATAGCCGTCTTGAGCACCTCTCGGTGCTGTTCACAATCTTGCCCTCCTTAAGACTTAAGCCCCTTTAGTTTCTGAGCTACACGCCCGCGAAAATGAGGAAGGTATATCGGGGGGAGTATTTCAAAGTCACCTTGGGATTCATGACGTCATAATATCGCCATTCAAATCCTGCATTCCATAAGCCATGCGGCGATTAAAGCCAAGAAAATACTATTTTCAAGGCGTTCATATCTGGCGTTCGTGGGCGCGATTTCCAGATATAACGGCGGCCAACTGGCTCTCAGTCAATGTTGTGCGAAGTACGATGGTGTTAGAAACCTGACGTATTGAGGAGCATGTTTATTTGACAGAGGATTGTGCTGTCTAGAGCAGTCTTCTTCATTTAAAAAGTATACAAATAATTATAAGCGAGCTTGTTTCATCACAGCCGATGTTTTCCTCAGTATCTTCAAATGTGAAGCAATCTTAAACAGAAGGAATAGCTGACCTTGAACGTGGGCATAAATGTATGGACGTTGTAGGTAAAGTCAGTGAAATGCCACCTTTAAATTAATTTAGCAATTCGTGTTGACGTGCAAAATAAATTTTTCTTAAAAGATTGAACTTGAACCTGTTGAATGAATGGATATCTGCTTATACTAACCAGTGCTTGTTGCGTGGGCTCGAAAACTTACCATTCGATCGCGCAATTCCAGGTCACCGGCAGAATTTGATAGCGAAAGTTTAACGTGCCGCAATACTCGGCACGGTCCATCCTGCCCTCTGACGTCACCTAACTTTTAGTGAGACCGCTGCCACCGGCCGTATGTCATACGGGTCAAGGATCGTGATGCCGTGAGGCTATAAAATCAGCTTTTTGTTAAAAAAGCAATAGTTCGCATGTTGCTGACATGCTGACGCTCTTGGTGCGATCAGGGGTTGCAAAGAGTTAAACCTGTCAAAATCATGATTGGTTTGACCGGGATTGACTGAGCCGCTGAGGCTTCTTTTTTTTCTAAAACTGTGACTTCAAGTGTGTGTTCAGATATTAGAAAAATTGCGCTACGCTATAATAAATATCATTAGAAATATTACGCCAGTTGAATTCACGATCGGCATGTCCTCCGGTCCTGCTTGTAATGAAAGCTACGTGATCCGCCAAAATAAAATGTGTCCTTTGTGACGTCCCAGTTCACTCATGTCACGTTATGTGGTTGACATAATTACTTCACACATCCTTCTCCTGTTTTCCGTGACTTGAGACAAAACCAAAGATCAAAAATCGCACATGATGGACTGAGGAGCCGTGGACATCAGGCGCGTTAACCTGACATCAACCAACCTGACTGACATGACAATCTGCTGACTCGGCATCAATCTGCGCTGCTCAGATGGAGTGCCATCTACTTGCTATGTGGCAGTGTAATCCCGCGCCTTAACTAGGGCATGGAAACAGCGCTACAGGCTAGTGAAAGACTTGTCGGAGGGCCAACTTGCTGCCTGACCCCCGAGCAAACCCCGTGGCGTCAGACCCCGCTCGGTCACGTGACCGCCGTAGGCAGCGTGAATGAATCGACCCGCCACCGCCCAGCGACTCGGCCGACCCCTCAGTCCAGGAAAACGGCATTTGCCCGGCCGCATTCGGCGTCCCCTGCCACGGCTGGTTGGCGCATTGAGATGATATGCAGCGACTCTGCGGCCTCGCTTGCATCCAAGTGCAGATGCTCTCAAGACAGACCGCCCGCTGCGCATTCACCCACAACCTCGTGACGCCCTGCGCCGGCGTGCAGGTCGTGACATCGGCATTGCACGTCAAGCGAAACGAGTTTTCGTGGCCGGACTCGCTGTCAGAGGCTGTAGCAGCGGCCGCAGCGCTGCGGAACGTTGAGTCCCTGTCAGAGACTGTATCGAAGCCAAGAATGCAGTGACGCAGAAGACCGGACACGCTCTGCGCTGGTGTCCCGCCGGTTGCCGAGCGGCAACGCAGACGGGGCGGACCGTGGCCACACGCCATTCGTAGCAGGAAAATAATAACCCAAGAGGATCATTCTCGTGGCAATGTAATATTGACCTTTTGACTTCGTGATCCTGGACTTGAAATATGAGATGTTTAAGTGGTGAGCAAACGGCATTCAGTTGATATATTAACCCTTTGGCTTGGTGTTCCCGGACCCACTTGGACTTCAGGAAGTTATGAAATATTTAAGTGCTGGGAAACGGAAATTCGGTCTATCGGAAGGCACCGGTTTGCGTAGGGGAGGGGCGGTTCGTACTCCGATGTCTTAGCATTAAGAGAAACCGCCACCGTTTCTTAGTCCCTGCTGCGGATTTGAACACGAATCGATGCTGTGTTGGGTGGCG